AGGGCACTGGCCTCCACTTCTCAGCTGCCCTGGGGCTAGGGCCAGACTCACCTGCTGGAGCATGAGCGCCTGTTGCTGCTGGAGCAAGGCCTGCAGCTGTGGGGGCGACAGGATCTGCTGCATCTGCTGGGGGGTGAGCATCTGCGGCGACATCATGGCCACCGACACGGGCACCTGTGGGATTCGGCCCTGTCAGCCTGCTCACCTCACCCCACTCCAGGGAGGGCAGGCACCCAGGCCCCACCCACAGTACGGCAGAGCGGCTCCAGAGGGAGATGCCACCCACTAGCTGGGTATCTGTGGACAGTGGCTGGCTCCCTGTTTCCTTGTTTGTGCAATGGAGGCGGCACAGCGCCTGCCTCGTAAAGTTGTCGCCGGACTAATGAGTTAACACTCGGAAGAGAGCCTGGCACCCCGGTGTGCTGACCACGGCTGCCTGGTAAACGCGCTAACTCAGGTGCAGGATGGTGAGACCCGAGACACGGTGGGTAGAACCCAGGTGTGGAAGGCCCGGCGCGCCACTCCCAGCTCTGCTCTCTCTCCTGCGACACCGTGAGGTGGGCCTGGCCAGGAGGGCAGGCTGCAGCCTGGGGAGGATTCAAAAGGTGGCCCGCATGGCAGGAGCCCTGGGCTCTGGCACATACACGTCACATCCTCCAGCACACCTGTGCGGAGGGCACACACAGAGCCCAGAGGGCGCCATCCTTGGTGTGTCGCAGCAGTTTTGTCTTCAGCGGGTGGAAAGAAGCCCAGGCAGCGGTTAGCGGGCAGGCTCCTCCCCCTAGCTCTGCACTGAACTTGCTGTGTGACCCCCAGCAAGCCACTTGCCCTCTCTGGCGTGTCAGTCTCCTCAAATGTCAAACAGGGATTGGATTATACCAGGTGACTCCTTCCCGCCAGAACACGTCGGATTCTCAGAGTGGAGCAGCTTGCTGCCCCCTGCCCTGGGTGAGGCCTCCCTGGGAAGCCCAGAGAATCTAGCTACAGGGAAAGGTGCAGGGAAAAGCAGTAACGACATTCTTTTCCCAGCCCTACCTGCCCTAAACCCCCCGGGCTGGTGGAGTCACAGCCAGGGAGGCCCAAGTTGCAGCACTGGCTTTTCTTAAAGCCGTTTCAGCAGGACAGGTGCTCTGACCACGATCTACCTCCCCAGCACACTGAAAGGGCCAAGACTCTTCTCTATCTCACACCCCCAGCCCTAGCAGAGGGCCCAGCACACAACAGGTCCTCACTAGGGGTTTGCTCCCTGAGCTGAAATACCTTTCCTGGCAGATTGCAGGCCCCTCTGCCAGCCTATGGCGGGAAGGGAGGGGGTACAGGGTGGCCCCGTCAGGGAGAGTCCTGCAGGGACCTGTCTTGGGCAACACGAGACAGGTTAGGTCTCCAGGGGGCTCATGGCCCCTGTCACCTCCCCCTAGTCCCATGGGAGGGTCAGGGGAGGAGGGGTTGGTTCCTTTTGGGATCCCTGGGGCAGGGGTAGGACTCAGCCTCAAGCCACCAATTAGGGAATCCCCAAGCAGGGGAGCAACCAGGGGGTGCAGTCAATCAGGGGGCATGGGAAGTCCCGCTGCCCCCAGCTCGAGTGGCTGCGCCCAGCCCTGGGCTTTCCCCCTTCCCCAGGATGATCTCTGCAGACATCCCTGGAGAGGCACCACCTGCTCTTTAGCCAGGGCCATCCTGTGGGAAGGGAGGCTCCAGGGGCGTCTACAAAGGAGCCTTAAGTGGCAGGACGGGATGCAAGCCCAGGTCTGTGTACGCCACGGCTCCCGGGGCCTCCATGGCTCCCGGGGCCTCCACATCCACACGGCCTGCCCCACCCTGGAGCAGGGCTTGAGGAGCACTGCAGAGACTGTGTGGAAACCGAACATCCGGGAGCTGAAGGCGGACAGGGCTGAGATCCCAAGGCCCATGTCCCTCCTCACACTGTATCACGGGAGACTCCACAGCCAGGCTGCGGGGGTGCCCTGGTCCTGACTCTCGGAGGGGCCTGGGGAGGGGCGGACAGTGGCCCAGAGCCACCCCCCTGCAGAGCCAGCCCCTGTGTAACCCCGAGGCAGCTGGGCTGCTCACCTGGCCTTTCGTTCCCCCTCCCCTGGGACACGGTGGTATGGAGCTCAGAGCCGGAGAGCTCTGCGTCAGGTGACCTAGGTAGGTTCTGGTCTCTGACACTGACTGTCCTTTGAAATCACCAAGCCTCGCTTGCTCCGTCCTCTCCCTGGGATCTGGAACACCTGCCTGCCCCGCCTCACAGGACTGACTACACAAGAGGCTGTGGTTGACTGTGGATTAGGTGCCAGGCACTTGGCTAAGCCCTTAATGAGTAGGATCTCCCTGAATCTTCACAGCAACCCTGCCTGGGAGGAGGGTATCACCGTCATTACCATTTTACAGATGAGAAAACTGAGGCCTGGAGAAGTTAAACCACCTGCCCTGCCTCAAGGGACAAGGGCAGAAGGGGTAGGTAAAAGGGGTTTGTATGTCATTAAATTCTATACAATTGTAAAACCAACTACTTAAAAAAAACACATTCTGAATTTTCCTTTTCCCCTCTTTTCTGGTCTCCTTTCCCTCTCCCTTCTCCACTATTTCATTTAGGTACTCAACGGCCCCCGAGGGCACTGGGTGGCCGGGGTCACTTAGGACAAACGCAATGAGCCTCCCATTCTCCTCACAGCGAGAGCTGCACCCAGCGGGGGAGGCTGAGAGCAGACACCCAGATCTTTCCAGGCACCAGGAGTGAGTCACGGCGAGCAGCACGCAAGAAAGGATGTGGCATTTCCCTCCTTGGGGCTTTCCTACATGGAGGCCGGGGAGTGGAAGAGATGGCCTCGGAAGGCCTCCCCAGGCCCTGCTGTCCTGCCACGTGGCTGAGCTGCTGGCTGGAGAGGCGGCTGCAGAGATAGTTCAGGATGGATTACCTTCTCTGTACTTGTCTCTAAGGTGGCCCAAGAGGGTCAAGAAAGGTCAGCAAGGCGGGTGCCACATACGGATCTCCTGAACTGGCTGACCCATCCACCTCCCGTCACGCCCCTTGGGGTTCTGAGCACTGAGTTGGAGCTCCCCTGGGTCCCCACTGACCACTCACCAGGCGAGGATGTGTCAGGACGGCCACTGTGGGCCAGTCAGCTCAGCAAAGCCGTGAGTCACAGGCTGGAGCGTGGCCAGGGTGGCTGCATGCTTACTAAAGCCTGGCAGTGGGACTCCGGGCTGGGCTGACTGCGGACAGCTGCCTCCAGCCCCGCCCCCAGGGCCCTGCTCCCGCCAGAGCCCTCCACCCGCCATGATCACAGTGTGCTGGGCTGGACGCGTGATGGAGACACAGGGAAGCGCCTCTGGGGGGCTGGGGGTTAGGATGGATGCCATTTGGTGCCAATCAAGGACCCAAACTCAACCTTTGAAGTATGAGATCTGGGGGTCCCTGGGTGATTTGGAGACTAGGCCAGAGCTTAGTCTAGATCAGTGGTCGGCAAACTGTGGCTCGAGAGCCACATGCGGCTCTTTGGCCCCTTGAGTGAGGCTCTTCCACAAAATACCGACTTCTGCACATGGGCCATGAAGTTTCAATCGCACTGTACGTGCGCGCCCGCCTTTCTCAGCCGACCCTTCCGGCTGGGGGAACGTTCCTATTCTCCAGCCTACCTTTCCTTGTTCTCAGAAGGGGTACGAGCTGGGCCCAAGGTGGGGAGGATTAAGAACAACCATTTCAGACCCTGGGAGTTGGGGGGGGGTCCCTAATTCAAAGAGACCTAGTCCCGACACCACCCAGGCCTGAGAGCTTTTCCTCCACAATGTTGGCTTTCCAGGTGGTGTCCCCAGCCACCCAGCCAGTACCCCTCTTTGCCCAACTCCTCCCCCTTGAGGGCAGTCTCATCAGGTTGAAGACTTTTAAAACAGGGCCCAGCTAAGGCCCCACAACTGTCAGGCACACTGAACTTCTTCAAAGCACTTTCTGAACACTAACTTGTTTTACATAAAACCCAGTCCTGGGTCCTTCTCCCGGCACCCTGCACCCCATCCTCCATCCTGCCCCCCTCACTTCCCTCCTTCCCTCAGCACCCCGCCCCCCAGACTCCAGAGCTGCGTGCTCAGGATCGAGTTCAGCCTTCCTCCCTTAGATAAACTTCCTTTCAAAGCCCGGCTTAATCCTCTCCCCAATTCCAAGCCTCCCCCGCTGCTGTGGGGAGGGGTGGGGGGAGCGAAAAAGCAGGTTGCTGGGCGGGGGTCGGGGTGGGGGGGTTGGAGACCAGGCTGCCCGAGCAGTGACCCACCCCAAATCAGACGGCGAGATTCTCCCAAGTTCTTTGTGACACAAAAGGTAAACAGAAGGCCTGGCTTACCCCCCGCCCACCCGCAACAGACTTCCCCTCCCCCACCCAGCCAGATGGGCCAGCAGGTTGGGGGAAGGGAGAGGGGGAAAGGGCAGATTGTGCAAAGGAAAACAAAAGAGACAGAGAGACATCAAGAGACAGGAAACACGGGGAGACTGAGAGAACTGGTGGGTGAGAGATTAGGGGGGGAGACGTGGTGACCTCAGCAACTGAGAGAGCCTGGGAAGGGAGTAGCAAGGGACAGGCCGAGTGACCACACCGAGATGGAGAAAACAGAAACCTGAGCAGTGACCCTGAGGCCAAGGGAGAGGAAGCCTGCACAGAGGGACAGAGACGGATCTGGGCGCAGGCTCACACGAAGACAAGAGGCCAAGCAGAGGCAGGCCTGGGATCAGGTGGAGGTGAGACAGAAAGTGCAAGTTTCTTCACGCTGCCCAGCATTTCCCTCGGGGCAGCTGCCACTTGCCGGCCTTGTTTGCCAAGCCCACCCTCTGACCTGGCCCCAGCCCAGCCCAGCCCAGCCCAGAGGGGTGCCCTCCTCCTCACCTGCACCGCAGAGGCTGACTGCTTGCTGTCATTGTTCCCGGGGGAGCTCAGGCCCGAGGCTTGCTGCAGCAGGAACTGCCGGGCTACCTGGAGAGCCTGCAAGACAGGGCGAGTGAGTGTGCCCGACCTGCACTGTGGGCTGCAGGTCCCTGCGGTCCGGTCCGTGGGACCCAGGATTCAGGGAGAGTGCGGGGTAGTAAAGGGCAGGAGGTCAGGTAAGGTCAGAGTCTTGGGGGTGAGAGAGAGAGAGGCACGCGGGGTCCACTTGGGCTTAAGTCGGGGGTAAGTATACAGATAGGAGTCACCGAGGGATCCGAGCCTGCAGGGACTCACTCTGGGAGCTGGTGAGGTTTGCTGCCCTCGTGGTCAAACAAGGGGGTAGATCAGGGCATGAATCATAGGTACTATCTGTTAAGCACCTACTATGCGTCAGGCACTTCACAGGTGTCTAGGAGGTAAACTATTCCCTTCAAGTTCTTCTGGCTGGACTAATAAGCAAATTAACACCAGGCAGATTAGCAGGAGAAAAACATTACAGTTTAATAACACGTATGCTCCCTGTATCAGGGGAGAGACCCAGAAACAGTAACTCGCCATCACCTTCAATTCCTCCTTCAGCTAAGGACGAAAGGTGATGTTGGGGGTGGAGTCAGTGAGGAGGCTACCAGGAAAAGCACAATGAACAGGGGAAGGTGGCTGCGCAGACTGAAGCCCAGGCCTTCTCTCCTGACAGCGAGGGCAGGCCTGGTGCAGCGAGGGATGTATCCTCACAAAGGGAGATGCCCTCACAGGTGCACAAGGCCTCACAGATGGTACTTGGTTTTCAGACCTTCCCCCGGGGCTGCTGTTTCTTAAAGTGAACCAGACTAAAATAATCAATATGCCAAAGTGGCATATTCTGGGGCGGCGCACTCTGCTCTCCATCACAGGCAAGCTTGCATTTAATTCTCTCCTGTGAGGCTGTGAGGTAGGGATATCGGATCAGCCCTATTTTGCAGATAAGGCAACAGTCTCCAGGAGGTTAAGGAACCTGCCCAAGATCACACAGCTAGGAGGTGTCAGACAGGACTGGAGGCCAGAAGGCCTGGCTCCAAGACCAACTGCCTTCTTATGTGCTGGGTCCAGGGGCCAAGGGGGTAGCATTCACTTGGGTCAGAACCCCCAGCTTTCTGAGTCCAGGGGGTCTAGGTGCAGGGCCTCAGGGCACTGAGGGAATTCAAGTCCTAAAGTGGGTTTTGAAATGCCAGTGAGTTACACTGACTGTGGTCAGCGCTTGGAGGCCATGATAGCTTGTGGACTCTGAGCCAGCAGAGTTGCGGGCGTGGGAAGTGTGTGGCATTTACAGGAGGAGCAGCTCGGCCAGCCGTGGGCCTGGGACATGGGCGGATGGGCTCTGAGAGGTCAGGTGGCAGAGCAAGGGGTCAGGGAGAAGTTCTTCGTAAGGTCAGCAAGGCCCTGCATCCCCCCACTCCCGGGTCAGTGGGGTCTCAGAGGCAAGGGATTGGGGACCTGTCCCAAATCACATTCCAGGAGCACAAAGCCTGTCTGCCTCCTGGGGAGCCAGAGCCGCTGTGTCAGGCAGACCTGGGTTAGAATCCCAGTGCGATTAGCAGTGGTGTAACCTTGGACAAGTTGTTCCAATTCTGCGTTTCAGTCTCCTGCTCTGCAAAACTGGGACACTGCCCAGCTCGGAAGTGCGAGGGGAATTAAAGGACTGCTTTCCTTTGTTGGCATTCGCCAAGAGTCTGCCCCTTCCCTTCTCATGAATCTCTCAGTTCCCTCCCTCACCGCCTTCAGCCTCTCCCACACAGTCTCGTGCCCGGCGCACCTCTTCACTGACACGTGCCCACCTGTGGCTCACTCACCCCTGCACACACACACACCCACACACACACCTGTCTGTCCTCACTCTCCTACCCCAGCACTAGCACCGGCAGACAAGACCCTGAGGGGGACAGGGACACACGCGTATGCACAGGCCCCTCCGCACACACTTCCCTGGCGGCCGCTGTGCACCAAGCACATGTACACCCCCTCGCAGCCTTTCATCCTGCAGCCAGCGCGGAGCCTCCCCCGAGGCTGAACCCAGTTTACCTTAGGATAGCATAAAAATACACTGGTGTATCTATGGGAATGTGTCCCCCAGCAAACCTGGGGTTCAGGCAGGCGTGCTCCTCAACCGCCCCCCAGATCCGGCCACCCGCACCTGTCTCTTCCTTGGACCTCACACCGGGGCTCGTGGCCTGGGGTTTCTTCTCTTCCAGAGTCACTTCTGAAAGTGGAAGTCTGACCGTCCGGGGGCAAAGGCTCCCTGAGGCTGTGAAAAGGGGTTCGGGCAGGGCAGGGAGGGAAGGGAGGGGCCACGGATCATCAGGAAGGAGCCCCTGCCCCTGCAGGCCTTGCTGTTAGACCCCTCCAGCTCTAATGCCATAGGTTGGACAAATGCTCTTTGTCCTCCAAAGGTGGAGGGTAGAGGGGTCCAGGGACAAGGTGGGGGAAGAGGATGGCTCAGAGGAGCTCCCAGGCAAGCCCGGGCACCCCGGTCCGGGGAGGGGTTCCCAGGGGAAGTTGGGGGAAGACTCACTCGGTCTCCTGGTAGGGGGAGTGGCCAGGGAGTTGGATTTACTCCCCACTGACTCTCTTACTCTGTGGTCCCCTGGAGCATGAAATTACAAGATTTACAGGAAAAAATGACATGGGCTTGCAATCTCATTCCTGCGAGCCGGCCCTGTGACAGGCCCTTCACTCCCCCTCGCGCCCCCTCGCGCCCCCTCGCACTCGGGGCCTTTCTTCCCCAGGGCCTCCCATTGAGACCGAGGCCTGGCCAAGGCGGTAACCTCCTGACTTCTCCCGCTTCCTTCCCATTTACTGAGCGCCAGCTGTGTGCCAGGGACCATGCTAGACGCTGGAGACAGACACAGCACATGGCCCAGCCCAGGGCTGCCAGCTGGGTGCTGTGACGACAGCTGCCTGTCAGAGACTGAAGTGGAGGTGGCCCTGGGACCAGAGCCCAGAGAAGACCTCTGCCTGGGGAAGCCTGGGGAGGTGGCGGCACTGGCCGGGGTCCTGGAGGGTATCCCGAGCACAGTGACCCGCACACTGCAGAGTAGAGTGACCCTGCGAGTCGGGGGACCTCGCCATTCCCAGGGGCAGAACGTCGAGTTGTGTTGGGGGCAGTAGTAGGAGAGGCCCTCAGGTTATCAGGGCCGGAACTCCTCCAGACATTTCACTCATTCATTCTTTCCTTCCTTCACTCATGTTCATGGCCACCCTGCGATTGGAGGTGGCGAGGCGATGGTGACCTACACAAGGTGAGGTGTGTAATGTGCCCTGACCCAGGTTAGGGTGATTTGGATACCACCTAAACATCACCTGCAGGCACCCAGGCAGGTGTGGGGGTCATGGGCAGACCCCGGGCTTGGGTCCAAGCTGCCCTCCCTTGGTGGCTGGGGCATGTCACTGACGGCTCAGGGCACCCACTACTGCTCCGCTTCTGCCACTGTCCTCAACACACGCTCAGACCTTCACCAGGACGCCCTCCTCCAGGCAACCACCCGGGGGATCCGCAGGACTGAGATTCTGTAAAAACCACCCGAGTCACACCCACCCTGATGCACAGGGGTCGGCATCCACACTGGCTCCTGGCACTGGGGTCTGATTCGTCACTGGCCTGCCCACCTCCCAGGGATGTGGGAAATGAAGGCCCCCCCCCACCCTAACAGATCCAGCCCCACTTTCCCCACCCTTTTTTTTTAAATCCTCACTCAAGGATATTTTTTCACTAATTTCAGAGAGAGTGGAAAAGAGAGGGAAAGACAGAAACATCGATGTAACCCATCAATTGGTTGCTTCCCACACGTTCCCTGACCAGGGCCAGAGCTGGGCCGGGGAGGAGCCTACAACCATAGGTGCCCTTGACTGGAATCCAACCTGGGACCCTTAGGTCTGCAGGCCAACACTCTATCCACCGAGTCAAACCGCTAGGGTCAGCCCCACTGCCTCTGATGATGCCAACCAAGGTGCAGCCTCCCTGAAGCACAGGTGTCCGCTGTATCTGTGAGCCCCAGCCTCCAGCGCACGGCAGAAACCCTGGTGAAAGTCACTTTAGTCCAGGCTGAACGTGGGAGGCAGGCACAGGCTGACTCGGAGCTTAGGAGCTGGCATTTAGACAGTGCCTGGTGGTTTCAAAGCCCTTCTACCAACATTTAGCTGAAGAGCTGGGCAGGGCAGGTGTCACTGTCTCCCCTGCAGACAAGGAAACTGAAACCCAAGGTCCCACCGCCAGGAAGCAGAGTCCAAACACCTCTGCCTGCCCAGCCCCCACACCCAGAGGGGCCCTGGGATCTCCTGCAGTCAGTCTGGTGAGGCCTGAGACTGGGCCTCCCCTCCCCCAGCCAGGCTAGTGTTTCAGCGGTCTGGGTGTGAAGGGGAGAAGCTGGTTGAGGTGGGGAGGGAAGACCAAAAAAGGAATCTCTAGGACAGCGGTTCTCAACCTGTGGGTCGCGACCCCTTTGGGGGTTGAACGACCCTTTCACAGGGGTCGCCTAAGAGCATCGAAAAACACATATATAATTACATATTGTTTTTGTGATTAATCACTATGCTTTAATTATGTTCAATTTGTAACAATGAAATTGGGGGTCACCACAACATGAGGAACTGTATTAAAGGGTCGTGGCATTAGGAAGGCTGAGAACCACTGCTCTAGGAGAACGGGGGGCTCAGTTTTCCTTCCCCGGGGCCATGGATACCGGGACACGGCCTCGGGCGGGAAGAGGCATTTAGAATGCCACACCAGGGAGAAGCCATGGTGGAAAATCTGGGGAAAAGGAGGAAGAGGGGGCTCAGGGCAGAAACTGGGAGCCATGGCCCTGGCAAGGTAGTTCAGTTGGTGAGAGCATCGTCCCCATATGCCAAGGTGATGGGTTCAATCCCGGGTCAGGGCACATACAAGCATCAACCAATGAGCGCATAAATAAGTGGAACAACAAATTTGTTTCTCACTCTCTAAAATCAGTAAGTAAAAAAGAAAAAGATAAGAAACTGGGAGCCATTTGGCTTCTTAAACCTCATTTTTTCCTGCCTCCACCCTCTGG